TATATATATATATATATATATATATATATATATATACGTACATATATATACTGTGTAGATAGATAAATAGATATAAAAGGCTAAAATAGCACAAAATATCCAGAAATTTCATTAAAAAATAAATAAACACGGAAGATAAATGGTATTGATAAAACAGGAAAACAACTGTGTGAATGTTGATTCAGTGTAACACTTAAATCTTAAAGAGAAGATCAAGAATTGGATGGTACGGTGGTTAGAACAAGCAGTGATGGAGTTGCTGTGATCTGTACAGGGTGCACCCCACTTCATACACAGTCTGCTGGAGATGGGCACCAGCTTCACTGAGACCCTGCCTGCACAGAAAACTGGGTACAAATAGACAAATGTGAGTTGTTTTCTAAAGATTGTACAGGTGCAAGATTTGAGACTGTGTGACCAATCTAATTGTATGAACACCATACATCCTTCCATTAACTTTACCCGCTTCTTCCTTTTTGGGTCGTGGAGGTCACTGGTGCCCGTGTCCAGCTATCACTGTGTGAGAGGCGGGGGACACCCTGGACAGGTCTCCAGTCCATCACAGGGACACAAAGGGACAAACGAGACAACCATTCACTCTCTCACTCACACCTAAGATAGAACTTTATTGATCCTGTAGGAAATTGTTGTGCCAGAGTTTCAATACAAAGGAACATGCACAAGTAATCACACAAGACAATATAAAGCCCAGAGAAAACCCACACATGCACAGAGAGAACATGCAAACTGCACCCAGAAAGGTCCTGGACAAGGATTTGAACCAGCGACCTTCTCACTGAGAGGCAACAGCTCTACCACTTGCACCACCGTCCTGCAGTATGAACACTGTTTAACAAAAGTATGCAGAGCGTCCATTAACCTGGGAGCAGGTAGCATTAAATCAATCAGAAAAAGTTTATAGTAATCCAAACGTTGTTTCACTAGGACTTGAAAAAAATCGAGATAACCCAAACAGTCTCATCATCAGATCATCAACTAATGACGACACAAATTTAATATGATTTTACCGAAAAGACCGAGGCTTTGCTGCGAGAACGTAGAGGGGAAAAAATCCACTAAGTGAGTTTTTAAGTCGTTTTTTTTTTTTTTTTTTTCAGGGGAGTCGAATTTCCCAACTTTGTGGTTCAGGATTGAACTGAGAGTCTTTGTGCAGAGAGAGAGGGCGAGAGAGAGAGAGAGTGCTTCAGGTCTGCAGACTGAGAAGGGACAGAGGGACCACAGAGTCTGCTGGAGTTTCATCATCACACATGTACTCGGAGCTCTCTTACAAAGCTGGATTTTTATTCCCTCCCTCGATAAAATGTTTCCAGGGTAAGAATTTCTTTATGTCAGAGGTCTCTGCATGGAGGAAATGCAAACTTTCACAAACATCACAAAATTCCTCACTGCTCCTCAGAGCAGGATTTGCTGTATATCTGTAGTGACATTTTATTATGTTAATTTGCTGTTGTGATTATTGTGACGAGTGACGAGTTGTGATTATTTCCCATGTTTCCAAGTTTACATAGGACAGCACCAAGCACATCTCCCTGGATGTCCCTGATGTGTCTCCTCAGGAAGTCTCTCGCCCTGCTGCTTGCCCTGCTGTGCTGGCCGGCTGCTGCCCTGCAGGATACAGAGGGTAAGACTCCAGCTGCTGCAGCTTTTTGTCAACATCACCAATATGAAACAACTCAATGAGTGGTAGAAAGCAGGCTTACTGACCCAACAGATGCTTCACAGGAGGAGTCAAATGTTGCATGTCGTCTTGCTCATGACTACGTCTCAATAAATTGGCTGTCTTTTAGATTTAAGCATTCTTATGTTGGCACACTTAGAAGAACTATGCGTCTACTTGAAACTATCATACATTAATATGGGGGTTAAATACCAATCTTTTGGTTGGTTTAAACTTTGATGCTGTACAAACTGAGCATTTCAGTAGTTTAACATGAAACCTTTATATTGATACAGTACATTACTGACAGTTTGTTCATTGTGCCACAATGTTGGATTTCTTTGAGGGAGTTTGCGGATTTCTTTTAAACTTACAATAAATGCAGAAAACTTGGATTAAAAAAAGTAAAAGTCACTTATACATGCAGGGCAATAATACCAGAAATGCAATGGGAACAAATTTAAAATGGTTTTACTGTTGTCTAAATAACAAAATGACTCGTACTCATTACATATCTGTGTTTAGTCGTGGGTTTGTCAATCAGTGTTTGTAGCATTTAATAATAATTCTATGCTTAACTATAGTTTGTGTAATTGTTTCATTGGACTATAGTTCTTGACTCATAAAAAGAAGCATAAATAAAAATAAAATATTGGAAAAATGTCCTGACATCACCAGCACACTGGTTGGTCCACTGTGTGGGTTTGCTGCTTGTGGGACTCAGTTCGTTTGGCGGCGCCTTGGATTGATGAAGTCCTTTGGATGAAGGACGAAATGTCTCAACAACAAAACCAAAAAAAGAAAGAAACTGTCCAGATAATAATAATGATAATAATCATCGTTTTATTTAAAAAGCACCTCTCATGACACCCAAGGACACTTTACAGTAAGAACAAAGATCAACTGGAACAGATGACCTGACTTTGTTGGGTTTTCTACTTGGATTATTGAGCATGAACTTTGATGTCCTGACATTTAGTTGTATCAGTCTGCTCTTGACTGGGTGAAGGTTAAGTTGTACCTTCACCACTTCGTACCCCCATCTTATACCTAGTGGCTGACTATACATCTCAGAGTGGTATTTTGACTTTTGACTCCATGAGTCCTCTCAAAGTTTTAAAGATTTTGCTGGTGTGTGCTGAGGATGAATCTCGGCTTGAAAATGGGCTTACTTTAGCCAATGTTGTGTTTGCTAAAGTTGTCTTAGCTGTGCGTGAAACTCGAAAAAGTTGTAAATGTTTATATAATGATAACTTACAAGAGTTTCATTACCTGGTTCAAAAGATATTTTTCTACAAATACAAACAAAACCACAGGCGTGCTCACATAGACCTGATAAAAATAATTTTTGCTCCGTTGATAATCAGCTAAGTGGTCTCAATATGGAGCGGCATGGTGGCACAGTTGGTAAAGCTGCCACCTCTCAGCCAGAAGGTTGAGGGCTCGAATCCTGGCTGGGGGCCCTTCTGGTTGGAGTTTGCATGTTCTCTCCATGCATGCGTTCTCCGAGCACTCCAGTTTCCTCCCACAGACCAAAAACATGCATGTTAGGCTGATTGGTAACTCTAAATTGTCTCTAGGTGTGAGTGAGAGAGTGAATGGTTGTTTGTCTCGTTTGTCTCTGTGTCCCTGTGATGGACTGGAGACCTGTCCAGGGTGTCCCCTGCCTCTCGCGCAGTGATGGCTGAATATGAGCACCAGTGACTCCATGACTCAAAAAGGAAGATGCGGGTAAAGATAATGGATGGATGATCTCAATATATAAGTATATATACACATATTGAATTCAGAATTTGCATGTAAACTTAGGGACAGGACTGGATAAGCTTTTACTTCTTCCTGTTCCCTTCTCTCACATTTTTGTTTTGTTTACATAATATTTACCTTTTTATTTGTTGTTGTTGTTGTTGTTGTTGTTGTTGTTGTTGTTGATATTTTAACAGTTTGAAATGAAAAAAAAAAGTATGAATATGGCCATGAAAAAAAACTTTGCATAGCCACAGTCATATACAAGGATGCGGTATCAAGATGTACCTGCACTTAAATTAATTGTTTCTTTCAGACAATATTATAACTCAGACTTTTCCAAATTGTACCCTAGTAGGTTAAATGTTTGGGTGGCTGCTAAGGTACGAAGCAAGGCCAGGGTGAGTACAAACAGACTTATAGCAGACTGCTTCTTTTAGTACCCAGAAAATATGAGTGCAAAGTGACCAATCAGCAAAACACACAAAGAGACAATAGCTTGACTTAACCCTCTATTATTGTCAACATTTTTCAGTCAGGTCATCTGAACAATTTCTTTTTTTGTACTGAAACGTTTCGCCTTTGATCCAGAAGGCTTCATCAGTCAAGGAAACACACAACAAAACTGATTCTTCCCCCAACAGCTTACTCCAAAGTGGAACAAACCAGTTATGTTGGTGCTAAGATGGTCTCTTTGTCATGCCCCCTCCTCCACTGCCGGCCCTCTTCCTTGTTGACAGTCGTATCAAACTGGTTGAAACCAACAAAGTCCATGCTCAATAATCCAGGTATACAATCCACCATTTTTC